ATCGCAACGCCGCTCTCTTCGACGACTTCCGACCATCTATCGACGAGCTCGTCTGCAGCATCAAGGAGGAGGCTCGGCTTTGGGCATGGGCTGGAGCCGAAGGACAAGTACTACTGATCCCTATAGTCTAAAACAAATGTACCGAGGCTGAGCAACCTCCAACATGCGCTCCTGGGGACGCTGATTCGTGTATGCCCCATCGAGCGGCACTAGTATGTTCTATCCACCTATCAATGGAATGATAGGCAACAATGCGTATTCACAAAGAAAAAATGCCCGTCTAGCCTCTCATATCAAGACACCTCAAGTCTGTCATTAGATACTACCTACTCCACAATTGTACAATTATTTTCCATGTTGATCATCTGATTAATATTGATCGACGCTCGTGTTGATCTTGGCCGACCGCATGTGGTACGTGTTCAGGTGCGTAACCTTACCGTCCGACTCGCCGTGGTTGAACATGTAGAGGTGCGTCGTATCGCCCACTGCCTTTTTCAAGTACACCCTCGACAATATGCTCATTCTGTCATGGCCTCCGAAGCTCTCCACCTTGGAGTGGTCGATCTGCGCAGTATGCATCATTGAGATCTATTGTTAGGCTAGTCATAGTGGGAGTAACTTGGCTAGTAACATAGCGCACTCCAAGAAAATTTTGCTTACGTGGCATGTAGTTAATGATAAGTGGTAACATAATATGTTACTGTAACATAGCGCTTCCCAAGACAAGATGAGTCTACAAGCTAACAAATGAAGTCCTTTATGACACTACTACTATGTTACTTTGCACTATGAAGGTAGTAACTTAGACTAGTGTCATATGCATGACATTAGTATAAGTTACTCCCCACTATGACCAGCCTTAGTTAGTGCAGAGGACATTAATGTAGAGCTACCTGTAATTCCAGGATGGAAGGGGGGCATCGCCCCCAGCCCCCCTAGAAAGTACAGTCATTTGGCCCCAAAACATGCTGATATGTAGTAGTAGGTAGGTGTAACGTACCAAGCTTCTGAGAGGTGTCTTGCCACCGGTATTGGCGACGTCGACGTTGATGAAGCCGATGAAGGTGGGCTTGTAGAGGTGGTCAGCGTAGGAAGATTTGGATACGTCGTTGCACATGAGCACGATGTGCTTGCCGTCATCGCCGTCCTTGAACGCTTTGAAGAAGACATATTTGCACACATATTAAATCCAAATTAATATTCAAAGTTCATACAACTCACAAATATTCGTGACATCCATGGTTCCCTAGGACTGGCCGCCACCAACGAGTACTTAGGCATGTGGAGGCAAATCCAGTAGATCGAGCTTTCTAATGTGCCCGACAAGATATCCTGGAAGTGGGCCCCGATCAGCCAATACACGGATAGCTCTGCTTACAAGGCCCTCTTCATTGGATCCACCACCACGCCCAACTAGTGGCCCATATCGAAGTGTTGGGCACCGATGAACGACAAGTTTTTCCTCTGGCTAGCCTGCCTGGACCATTGCTGGACTGAGGAGCGAAGAGCGCGCCATGGTTTACCACACGACCCTCTATGCAAGTTGTGCAGCCAGGAACATGAGACCATTGATCATCTGCTCGTCCAATGCGTCTTCTCAAAGATCACCTGGCATGAGATCTTATCATGGTGTCACCTCCCGGTGCTTCTGCCAAACGCTGATGTGGTCTTCTTCCCTTGGTGGTCTACCTCCCTTGCCGCTTCTCTAGCAAGTTTGCGGAAGGGCCTCAACTCTCTTATAGCCCTAACTGCATGGAGTATCTGGAAGCATCCCAACACCACTCTCTTTGACGACCTCCGACCATCTACTGACGAGCTTGTCTGCAACATCAAGGAGGAGGCTCGGCTTTGGGCATGGGCCGGAGCCAAAGGACTAGCACTAGTGATCCCTATAGTCTAAAATGAATGTACTGAAGCTGAGCAACCTCAAACATGCTCATGCTACACTCCTGGGGACGCCCATTCGTGTACGCCTCATCGAGCAGCACCATGTATGTTCTATCCACCTATCAATGAAATGATAGGCAACAATACGTATTCATGAAGGGAAAAAACCCAGTCTAGCCTCTCATATCATGACACCTCAAGTCTGTTATTAAATACTACCTACTCCACAACTGTACAATTATATTCCGTGTTCATCTGATTAGTATTGATCGATGTCCGTGTTAATCTTGGCCGACCGTATGTGGTACGTGTTCAGGTGCGTAACCTTGACGTCCGACTCGCCTTGGTTGAACATGTAGAGGTGCGCCTTGTCGCCCACTGCCTTTGTTGGGTGCAACCTCGACAATATGCTCATTCTGTCGTGGCCTCCGAAGCTCTCCACCATGGAGTGGTCGATCTGCGCAGAATTCACTGTAGAGCATCAATTGCTACTTAGAAAAAACTAGAGGCCCAGATTAAGGAAACTACAGCCATTTGGCCCCAAAATATGCTGATAGGTAGTACTTCGTAGCTCACCCAGCTTGCTGGTTTCCCGCTATATAGAGGGATGGGGAAGCCGGGGAGGCCTTGCGTACATCGGTAGGAAAATACGTAGCAACGTACCATGCAGCACATTCTGTACGTAGCAACTGATCGAGCAAGGCTGGCTTTACATGGAATCGTATAGCTACTCCAACAACATATGCATATACGTACGTGTGTGCTAAGTACTTTGGTGTAGTCGAACGGCGGCGGCGTAACGATTACCAAAGATATGAAAGGACACTTCATGGAACAGCCGGAATATGTGACAAAGGGTGTCTACTAAAGCTACCTGATCTAGCTAGATACTGCTCTCTATGCATACAGTAGACGGAGCACGGTGGTATATACAGTGCTAATGGCAGCGAACCGGAACCTTTCTTAGGTGGGAGGCAAAGAAAAAGACCCGGCCGGCCGGCCCGTCCATGCGGGGAAGCGTGTGTGGTTGGTGCACTCTGTCGCGCTTTATGCATGTGTGTTGCCTCCGTCACACGCTCGGGGCTCGGCAGTGCAGCAGGTGAAACTTGGTGATGGTGCCCGGCTCAGCGGTGCAACAGGTGAAACTAGGTCATGGTGCACTGGATAGTGCACCCCGCTGTGTGTCGTCAAGAAAATAAATACTACAAATTAAACAAAAATACTTTCAACAACAAAAAAGGCATATATTAGTTCAAGAGCATGGCGTTGCAGTGGCGTCTACGAGCGCGCACGTACATCTCGGTGGCATGAGTGCGTTGGCGAAGCTGATTTGCTGAAGTTTAGACCAATGCTCAAAGTATTTTCACATATCTTACTATACGCTTGGCAACAGTCAAATGAATAGTAGTTAAGAAACTAGCATACTTTGTTAACAGAAAAAGAAATGTTAGGTCTCGTAAGAGTCAGATACTGAAGTGCTCCTATCAAACTTCTGTATTTTGTGCTAGCACTAATGCTGCTACTACTGTTGTTGTTTGACTTTACACTAAAATTATGTATATTACTACTGTCATTGCTACTGCTACTATGCTACCATTGTTGCTGCTATACTACTGTTGTTGTGCCGCTGAACTTTTTCTGTACACTAGACCTATCAACTGGCTGAAGAGCTCTATATATGTTCGTGCTGCTGAAGTTTTTCTTTACACTGAACCTATTAATTGGCTGAAGAGCTCTATATATGTGGCTACAGATTCAGCTAGATGTTTCATTAGAAAAAAAAACACATCTATATATTTTGCAAAAGTAATGTGTCACCAGAAGATGCACAAAAGAGAAGGCATAGTCGTGGAGTGATTTGTACTGTAGTATTATAATATGTTGCAGATGCGATTGGTCTTTCCCAACACGTTATGCTGCAGAAATTTTCGGTGAAAATTCCTGCGACTTGTTAAAATTTTGGCCTTATTTCTAAGGAAACGAAAATTTTAGGGTGTTGGCTGCAAAATATTAAGGACTTGATTGCAGGTTATGTTTTTCGTGCGGATGTTTTTCTTGGGAATATTAGTAATAGACTACAAAGTTGGTGCGCGTACATCGCGAGGGCACCGTGGGAGGTCACCGGATAGAAATCGGGACACTCGCACATGCCGGTGTCGCCGTGGTGCAGCGTTCGATGCACCGGCACCTACCGCTAGAAGTCTCAGCTGCGGTAGAGCACCACGAGGCCCCTGTGGTTGTCCTTAGTTCCCGATCACCAG